TTAAAATGCAAAAAAAAAAAAGATTTCTTTTAAAACTCATACCCATGAGGACTTCATCTTAAAGATTTAAAACCACTTGCAAAATTATTTTTTTCTTCATCATCCAAATATGTTACAGCTGAATGAATTGATGCGTGATTGTTTAATCCAAACAATATGTCTCAAAAGAGTTTTAAAAATGACTGAACACAAACTTAAGGTTATTAATTTATTTGTGCTAGTGCTCCATCTAGTGTACATTTAGTATTTATACAATTAAATTAGTCAGGTATTTTAGGGAATAATTTCACTGCACTGGACCACATATGTTTCATTTGATGAATACATTTGTACAAGAGTCCCATGTCATATCATCACAGATGATTATATGTCATTATTTAGAATTCAAATCTAAAAACTGCTGTCCTGAATAAACAATTCCCTCACTCTTCATTGTTTTCTGGGATTTTTTATTGGACATCCTACTGGAATGAGGATAAGGAAGCTTGTTCTGATAGCAAGAGTTGACATGTCGATTGTTCCAGGTTCTCTAAGTAGCAGATTCAGATGACAGCCACAGATGGTGCTGCCAGATTACAGTGACCCCCTCCGTGGCGAGCATCATACCACAAGAACTAGTTTAATATAACCCAAAGACAAGAGGATTCTTCCTGAGGACTGGGAGATATAGGTAAACCCCATCTTGTTCAACTGAAAATTTGTAAAAATGCTAAAGCACAGGCAGATTGACAAACATTTTTTCTTTAGAATCTATTTTGTGTTCAAATATGGGATTAAGGGTGAAAAATCAGGAGCATATTTTTCTTTTTCCCTTTTTTAGTAGTTGTCAAAGAAAGAGGAAAACACAAAGAGCTGCAACTGTGTGCAAACCTTGGTATAATCCCCCAACATTCTCTGCTTTATGACAGTCTGATGCCTTAAAGTCCCACTGCTTGCTGCCACATGGCCTGCCATACGGTGTGGAGCTGATGCTGTGTCCTGCCGGAGCTCCTGCCATGCTTTTTTTTAACAAGGGAGTCAGCCAGCAGAACGGGGGGGATTCAGAGCTACCTCTGACAGCCATGTGTAGGACACAGGAGGATGAGGGAAACAGTCTGGACTTGACTGGACTAAAGCATTCTCTGTGAGAGATGATGTATTTACCATCAGAGTCGTTATTTGCTCTTCAGGTTTCTCAGTAATTAACAGGTGGGTGTTGCTTCCACACAGCAGCAGCAGCTGCAGCACAATCCAGGTGTTTTTGAAGTGGTGGAAAGGTGACGTGGGCGGAAACACTGTCTGTAGTTGTTGTTGCTGCTGCTGCTTGTTGCTTACTCAGTGTGTCTGTGCCTGTTGGTAGTCTTCTCAAGTGGAGTCTGTAATGACAGGCTGGCTGAGCTCTGCCTGAGAATAAAGAGCTGTAGAGAAAGAGCAGACACGCTGACTTGGAGAGACTTGGAGAGATGACATTTTACCCCCAGTTTTTCATGTTATAACCTCAAACAACAATGGTTTGCATAATCAAAAAACAAAACAAATTAGTGCATTAGTAAAAAGCAGGGAGAGGAAACATATGTGGTGTAAAAAGAGGATTGTTTACAATGCGGAAAATAAGTATTTGAAAACCCTGCTATTTTGCAAATCATGGAGGGGACTGAAATTATCGTTGTAGGTGCATGTCCACTGTGAGAGACATAATCTAAAAGAAAAAATCACAATGTATGATTTTTTAAACTATTTATTTAAAAGATACAGCTTCAAATAAGGATATGAACACCTGTCTATCAGCTAGAATTCTGACCCTCAAAGACATGTTGGTCTGCCTT